AACTTTCTGCAGGTACTCCGAGATTCTCGATTATCATAACGTCATCAACGACGCCCAAAACCTGACGGATAGTCAGTAAAAGTACATTTGTTATTTTGTGTTTCGATTGAATTTAGTTATGAAAAGGTGTTTGCCCAGGTGCAACCATTAGCATGGGATGGATACACATTATGGGAGAGCTGGTTGAGAGGGGTGCTCTCTTGTGCTTTCTGATGCAACGCGACCTCTGGCGAGAACTGGCTTTATTTTTCTTCGACTTCTGGCGTACATATATATATTACTTCACCAAGGGTTGATGAGTCACGTATTTTCCGAAGTTTCTGAACTCTATAATCCGCCCGCCTGTGGGTTTATGGATTGTGCAAGGTTTGAGTGGAGTAGTGAAATCGAGAGGGGGACCTTTGCACACAGTAGATGGGTGAATTTCTTTCCGCAAAAGTTGTACTTAGATGATAGGATGAGTATGGTCATTGGCTTATTGGCGTTTGAGGGAAATAGAATAAACGAGTTACGATTTTATAATGATCGAGTTATCTTTCTAGGGGTCATTCCTTTTTGCAACGATTGGATACCAATAATCGAAGATATTGACTGTGATCTAGAAAATAAGTATCTTTAGTGGCTTAAAGCTCCGCTAATACAATACAAACTAAGCATTTCCCAAGTGTCCCCCAAGCATTCTCCAAGACATAATGATTTGATACGGTACAAATCCAAGAATGGCAAACAACAAGATTAGAATCCAACGCAGTCTCCCATGCATACAAATGACCTAACACAATCATGTGACGAGAACAGACTCCAAATCAGCTCTTTTACTTATGCCTGCATGTACAGTGAGCATCGAAATGGGATGGAAGTATTGGATAGTAAATTAGTGGTGGAGATGTGTGGTGCGCACACAATTGCAAGGATGATGTTTTCCTGGACTTATTCGCTGGCCTTGCAGCGAGGTGGGATGGATTGGACAGGAGTGATAGGAGTGTGTGATGGGAACTGGGGTAACGGTCTGGTGCTGGATTACTTTTTTTTTCTTTTTTTCTAAATATGGGTGTTGAGGATTATTCCAATGGGTGATGATGAGTAAAATTTTAGTACTCTTTTCAATAAAGACAGTTTATCTTGACTAAACTGCCCGCTGGTGATTTTCGACTGAAATGTTGACGACAAGAAGATAAAACAAGTTTGACTTGATGGGTGAGCAGAGCATACTGATAAAGTTTGCGATAAACCTTTGCTCCAGCCTCATTCGGAGGCTGAGAAATTGATTCTGGAAACCTTCTCAAGGATTGGAACCTTTGAACTTTTGCTTTTGGAGATTGCGAATTAAGGTTGGAAGGAGTTTTTGATAGGGATCGTCAAGGGTTAATGAATTTAACAGAGGGGTAAAAGTAAAATTGCCCAACTGCTCGGCTGGTTTATTACGCATACAGCTCACTAGGTTCGCAATATCAAAACCCTGGAGAGAGCATTGGCCAGTTAATTGTGAACGGGTATCAATTTATCACAATTGGGATTTTATTAGTTGGGGAAAGGAGAAGGAGATTGATAGGACAAGACGGATCGAGATTGTAGCGATCTATCGAAGACGTACGAGACGAAATTGATCTTCGAGAGAGGAAAGTTAACACAAGCGGAAACATAAAGTTGAAAGCTTGAAGTGAGGAATTGAGGAATATGATGTTTTGATTACGAGAACGATTACTCTTCTTTGGTTTACTCGAAACATTGAAGCCGAGAAGGACAAGCAGAAGTGATTACTGTGGCATACGCGAAACTAAACAATTCAGAGACGAAGATATAATATCGAAATACATACACACCTACCTATCGTTCGTTCACCGGCTGTTGATATTCAACAGTCCTCGAGGAGGAATCTAGGGAGGTGATTTGCTGCGTTTCTTTAGCTTTTAGCCATTCGGCCAAGAAAATCTGTGAGAGGGACTCGAGACAAGGTGCGGCTCCGGATTGGGACAACGTATCGAAAGTCGGTTCTTTATAGCTTGGGAGAGAAATTCGGAGAGGGACAAGCGCACTGGATGGAGAATATTGAGAAGAAGGAGGGGGAGGAGGGGTCGTTGGCGGGGGAAAGAAAGGGGTTTGTGCCGTTGGTTACGGTGGTGGACTTTCATCATGCGAGGTAAGCATTTCTGGGGGAGAGGTTGGTAGGGGATCAAGAATGGATGGGATGGGCATGAGAGAAAATGAGGTAGAGAAAACTGGCTGATATAAGTTTGGTTCAGAGGACCGGAAGTCGAATACTGGTTTGGGGCAGAAGAGGGGACCGATCCTGCGATGGACAATGAATGGCCTTTATTACCGTTCATGGCTCTGAGCGATGGTGCGCATGCGTAAGTCGCTGTCCTTGCATTCTGCGAACTCACAGGGAAAATTTTGAAGCTGACGGGTAATTGAAATGGCAGATCAACCGAAGATTTCTCCTATTTTACACTCCTACGACCTGCGCGCGGAGATCTACCTCCAACATCCCTCTTCGGTATCTCCTGCACACAACAAATGGATGCCTCGATATTGCTTAATCGCCCCGCGGAAGTTACACGATCGACGGTACAAAAGGCTGTGGTTGTGATAGCAGATTCTCCACAATTCTTTGGAATGTTGAGGGAAAGATTGGGAGTGGTTACGAAAGCATGGTTTGCACAACGTGAATTCACAGATACGGAGATATTGAAGAGGTTTCAGGAAAGTCTGGCGGAGGAAAAAAGTCGAGGAGAATTGGGGGACAGGGAAGAGTATCTGGGAATGAGTTTGAGGGAATTGGTCAAGGAGTTTAAATGGCAGACTTTGGTGCTTTTCAAGTGTTGTTTGTTACAACCGAAGGTAAATTTGCTCCATCCTGGCAAGTCGTGGTGGGTTTTAACTCGAGAGTAGATGTTATTTTTTGGTTCGAGGTGCGAGAGATTGTGCATGATGCAGTTCTCACTTATATCTCTCATCCCGGGTCTGATACGGAATTTACAAGATTGTGCGGATCCGGAGTTGGATGATTATAGGAAAAACCTTGTGAAACCGACGAGTTTGAAAACTAGCGATAGGAGTTCATTGTTGAGTTACATGGGATTGCCTTTGCAAATATTTGGCAAGGTAAAGATCGATTTTTAAAAGTATGTGAAGAATCTCACTAATTGTATATTTAGGGAAGTCTTTTTGGTCCTTATACTCCTTTACAGCAACTTGATATATTAGCGGACTACGGCACAAAATCTTATATTGTTGGATCGACGAATTCTTTACTCTTACAACAGAGAGATCGATACAGCGACATTCTAATTAATCTAGACGACCTTACCATTAATATCACATCTGCATCACTGAGGTCTGCACTGACACTTTCTGCGGCCGATCGACGATGGATCGATTTCATTACTCAAACTGTCAACGACACTTGGGATGAATCTAATCCAAGCCGGCCTAAAACTATGGGCTATGTCGGTTCTGAAGAGTTCATCCGATTGCAGTTTGAGGAATATCTCCTCTCTTTAATCTCCTCTGTCAAATGCCATAACTACCTTGTAGTGAATGCTCACAATCCCAGAGCGCAACTTCCACAGGTCGAAGGCGACCCCGCGCATGATTTTAGCATGGATTGGATCGATGCATGGACAAGAAGTGAAAACTATGAAATTTGGAATAACCATACAGATTCGCATCTTTTTGATATCGTAGAACCTAAACATCCTTGTGCAGGTGGGCTTACAATTGATGATGTTCAAAGACGTATTGCTGAACAGGTCAAGGAAATGCATCTTGATGAAAGGTTTGCGGTAGGCAAGGAAGTCTTGGGCAGAAATATTGCAGCAGGAAAGGAAAGAGCCAGTACTGTTTTCAACAAATTGTATTCAGATATGGAAGCCTATCGGGAAAGCCAGAGAAAGAGAAACGAGGAAGCTAGAATTGCGGCTGAGAAAGCGGCAACTGCGAGTGGGGCCTCGAGTCCAGTCAGTGTAACGGGATTTAATGAGCCAAAGACCCCTTCAGTGCAGAGCAGAGCAGGTGCATATATTGGGAGCTGGGGTACGTGGATGGGGGAGAAAAGGAAAGCGGGATGGGGAAGGAGCTCGGGGAGTCAAGAAAAGGTCCAGCAAGTTACGAATAATGGGAAGAGAAACTCGAGAGGCTTGTTTGGGAAGGAAAATATTCACCTTGTGAACGCGAAAAATGGGGTGGAGAGAAGTCCACTGAGTCCGAGAAATTCTCAGGGGGGATATTCTCCAGTGGGGGAAAGACCGAAGACAGCGGAGAGTTTTGAAGAAAGTATCTTTGATGCGGAGGCGGAGGAGAATAGAGTTGAGAATGGAGACGGAAAGGCGGTGGTGGTAGAGAAGATTAGTGATGCGCCTGTGAGAGTCAATAGTCCGGGGCATTTGTCGGGGTTACATGAGGGGGTGATAGACCATGAGGATAGTGATGGTAGTGGCGAAGAGGAGAAGAAGACGGCCAAACCTACACCTGTGTCTGTCGAACCAAATGTGTGGAACGACGAAGGGGATCGGGAATCAGACGAGGATAAACATGAAAGGGCAGAGAGAGTAGCACAGGCCATGCAGGAGGCGGTTGATTCTTCTATTCATTCGTAGGGATTTTATGGCTGATAGAACTGGTGGCGGCGTACTTTGAACTTTCATACTTTTCTTGTGTTTTCTTCTTCTGGATTGGATTGATTGATGACGTAGCGAAGTTTTTGTGCTGATACATAAAGAGGGGAGATCACGGGTGGAATGTGTGTTTTGGGATGGAGTGAGATGGGTGAAATGGATTGGAATTGGATTTGGAATTGGGTAGGGAAAATTCAGGAATCGCAGGATTATACATACCACTTCCGTATTACAGCATATACAATACACGTATACATACATACATACAATGGAATATATTTAATGTTATTAGATTGTTTCCCCCCTTTTTTGGTGGCAAGTACATTGTTGAACGGAATCAACACGCTACGATTAACCTAAATCTATCTCATCCATCTCTCAATCTCAATTTTCCTCTAAAACAGGTCCCTGATCTCCATACAAAGGATCTTGATCAAACCACTCCAAATCAGAAATCCTCCGAATCTTCTCCTCTTCTTCAGAACTTCCATCCCCGTAACACATATCCCATGTTTTCCCTTTGGGATAAGAGCCGATCATCTGGAAATCCCCGGTGAGGTCTTCGAGGAGGTGGTGGGATATACCGGCGGGGATTATTATGGCGTCGCCGGATTTTACTGTGGTTTGGATTTTGGAAGAGGGGTCGTGGGTTGGGGTACTGAAACCTGGGGGAGGGGGAGGTTAGTATGGGTGGGGAGAGGAAAGGAGAAGAGGAGAGTAGGGGGATAGATACATAATCTTGCACTTCCGGAAAATATGCACAGGACCTCGTGGGCACTGCTGTGGAAATGAGGTTGTGTGTACATGGTGTAGCGCCAGTGGGGAGTGACGATGTTGAGGGATTTGAGGTGGGATTCGATGAGGGAGGGGGGAATGCAGGAGTGGTAGATTAGGAGGGGGTGAGGGGGGTGAGGATGCGAATGGGCATGGAGGGGGATGTGATGCCGGGTTGTGGTTAGGTTTGCGAGGGGGGTGAGCTGGAGAGGGAGGTGCATTTTCTTTTCTGGGGTATGAAAGGGGGTAGGTTGTCAGAGAGGGCTGGGTAAGGATGGATATGTTGGTGAGGGAATGAAGATCTCGATGTATATCTTGATGTGTTAGGTTGAGTATTCTAGGAGATAGAGGGCTCGGTGATGGAAAGAGACCAATCGTGACGAAATGAAGATCAAGAATGGACTTTGGTTGAGGACTAGTATCTAGGTAATAGCAATGATGTCACTTTTCTTGAAGAAATCACAAATCGGTGATACTTTGAATGTTTGATCTATATTTGACTGAATAAATCTCGTAAGAAGGTAGAATTGAAATATGGGAATATACCTATCCAGCGAAAAGAATGATTGACAGTTGTGGAAGGAATATGAAGATTTATCTGGTAGTTCATCTGAATGCCTACCTACTCGGGCTCGAGTGGGCTTTGAGATGAGGGGTAAAAGGAGGGGTCTGCTAATTTATGTCATATTGTACTGGAACCATGAACTTTCCGAGTTTTCCGTAGAGATCTATCGATATTCATGAAGAAGTTGCTTCTCTTGAAGTTTCTAAGCATGATATATGCTATCTAATGTTTTGAATATATTGATGAAGTTCTGTGCTATATATTGACTGTATCATGTCTCATTAATAATAACTACCAGTACATCAATCACCAGGTGAATCTGCCGGTCTGCTTAGTCAACATCCTTATCGCTTATCAAGACCTTTGAAGTCTCGGACTTCGGGAGCTTTATCAATTCAGAGTACATTTGGCGCTTCGAATCTTAAACTCCTGGCTGTTTTTGACGCCTTACCGTAACTCCATACCCTGTGTTTGGCGGTAAAAGTTTCATGGCCTCAGGCATATCTGCATACTACGTATAGAAAGTGCACGGCAGCCTGCTATCATACAACTGAATCACGAATTCATCCTTACTCAAGACTTGAAGGAAAAAGGGAAAAGGGAAAAGGGATACCTCGTCAAATTCACCCTCTTGACATCTATTCATATATTCTACTGGAGAGATTTAGGAGATCTGACCGTATATTATTGTAGGGGTTCAACTTTCTAGCGTGTTCTTTCCCTCTAGTTCACATTGTGGGCAGTATACCCTTTAATATCTTTCCAACACAACCACTTCGATTTACAACACTCTCACCACAATCACAACCTCAACCTCAACTTCCACTTCCACCTTGAAAACTTCTCGGATCTGGAGAACCTTTTGCATCGTATTCTGTGATTTATCACAAAGGTGCTCATTTGATCATCTCCATTTTCATAATTTTGCTCACAGTCCCGAACCGACATTCCTTCAAGCTGCTGGCTTAAATCCATCAGTTCTCTATACCAGTTTGAATCCATTTCAAAACATACGATCTTTTCTCTTTACCACTTCCATTGAACTTTACTCAAGATGACGGTCGCTACCAGGACGGTGGTCGTTATGCCTCCTGTCCCAAATCGGGAGGACTTAGATGCGACGTTCGTACTGCTTCTTTTCTCTCTGCCACCTCCCCCCTCGATCTTACCTGATTCAACATGCTAATTATGGATCTTTGCGATTTAGATGGAAATACCTCGAGGCTGGAGTATCGAAGGTCATGTTACAATTGGCAGATGGTGTCGATATGAACACTGTAGGTGCCACTCCTCCAACCCTCTTCAGCTCTTATGCGCAATTACTGACTCGCTTTCTATCTATAGTATATGGGAGTATACACGTACGTATTCCAAACACACACTGTGGCAACATCATCTAACCCGAAATAGAGCTGTGCACAATTTCTGTACATCACAAAAGGCAGTCAGCAACCATGGCCCAGGAGTAATTGGAGGTGCGCATCGCGGAGGTGGGACCTTTAACCAATCCCAATCTAAACACACATATACTGATACTATTATTACAGCACACCTTCTCGGTGAAGATCTATACAAAAACCTCATTAAATACCTAACACAATATCTCAAGGAACTCGTTCTTGCCTCTAAAACACATAGCGATGAAGCTCTCCTCAGTTTCTATATTCGAGAATGGGATCGATACACGACAGCAGCAAAATATGTCAACCACTTGTTCCGATATCTTAACCGTCACTGGGTAAAGCGAGAAATGGACGAGGGAAAGAAGAACATTTACGATGTTTATACTCTACATCTTGTTCAGTGGAGAGAGACTCTATTCACAGCTGTCCATTCAAAGGTTATGGATGCCGTTCTCAAGATGGTTGAGAGGCAAAGAAATGGCGAGACTATCGAGCATAACCAGATCAAGGCTATTGTTGATTCTTTCGTATCACTTGGGTTGGATGAATCGGACCCTACTAAATCGACCCTCGACGTTTACCGTTTCCACTTTGAGAAGCCATTCTTAGAAGCCACCGAAGCTTTCTACCGAACCGAATCGAAAGAATTTGTGGCGGAAAATAGCATAGTTGAATACATGAAGAAGGCTGAAATTCGATTGGCAGAAGAGGAAGAGCGAGTTAGAATGTACCTACACCAGGATATCATCATTCCATTGAAGAAAGCCTGCAACACTGCTCTTATTGCCGACCACTCGGCACTTCTCCGAGACGAGTTTCAGGTTCTTTTGGATAATGATCGATACGACGATATGGCACGCATGTACAACTTGCTGGCAAGAATTCCAGATGGTCTTGAACCACTACGTACCAGATTCGAGGCTCATGTTCGCAACGCCGGTCTTGCATCAGTCGCAAAAGTCGCTAGTGAGGGTGATAAGCTCGAACCCAAGGTTTATGTGGATGCTCTTCTCGAGATTCACACACAATATTCAGGTCTTGTAAAACAAGCATTCAAGGATGAGCCCGAGTTTACCAGGTCTCTTGATAATGCGTGCAAGGAGTTTGTGAACCGCAATAAGATCTGCAAATCGGGGTCCAACAAATCTCCTGAATTACTCGCCAAGTATGCTGATTCGTTGTTGAAGAAGAGTGCTAGTGGAGCTGAGGAGAGTGACATCGAGAACTCTCTTACTCAAATTATGACAGTTTTCAAGTATATTGAAGACAAGGATGTGTTCCAGAAGTTCTACTCGCGTATGCTTGCTCGTAGATTGGTCCACACCAGTTCTTCATCAGATGATGCTGAGACAAGCATGATCAGCAAGTTGAAGGAAGCATGTGGATTCGAATACACAAACAAGCTTCAACGTATGTTCCAGGACATTCAAATCTCGAAGGATTTGAATAGTGGCTTCAAGGAATTTGAGGGAGGAATCTTTACTGGAGGCGAAGAAAAGCCAATCGATGCTAGTTACTCAATTCTGGGTACCGGTATGTGGCCTTTGAATCCACCGAATACCGATTTCACTCCACCAGTGGAGATTTCCAAGGCCTATGAGCGTTTCCAAAATTTCTACAACCAGAAGCACAGTGGTAGAAAGCTCACGTGGCTTTGGCAATTGTGCAAGGGTGAGATCAAGGCCAACTATTGTAAAAACCAAAAGACTCCATATACTTTCCAGGTTTCTACTTATCAAATGGCCATTCTTTTGTTGTTTAACGAGAGTGATAAGAATAGCTATGAAGATATCGCCAAGGCAACGCAATTGCAGGCTGATATCCTTGATCCCACCCTTGGTATTTTCTTGAAATCCAAGGTCCTCACTATGACCCCAGCAGACGACAAGCCAGGACCTGGCAAAACCTTCAACTTGAACTATGATTTCAAGAGCAAGAAGATTCGTGTCAATCTGAATATCGCTATCAAGTCGGAGCAAAAGCAAGAGGTTGATGAGACTCACAAGACTATTGAGGAAGACAGAAAGTTGCTCATGCAGGTATGTAGAAATCACTTGGGTAATATGATTGAACTCTTACTGACTTATGTTTTAGTCTGCTATCGTTCGTATCATGAAGGCACGAAAGAAGATGAAGCACAGCGTCCTTGTCGCCGAAACCATTAGTCAGATTCGCACTCGATTTTCACCAAAGGTTCCAGATATCAAGAAGTGTATTGATATCTTACTGGAGAAAGAATATCTAGAGCGGCTCGACGATGATGAGCTCGGATACCTTGCATGATCCATAAACTTTTTATTCAACAGGATCTCTTGCATTAGGGATTCACGATGGATGACCTTTTATGAATTGGCGGCTTATTGAAGTTGATTATAAAAGTTACCAGCCCACACTTAAGATTTGGGGAGAGAAACTGGTAGTAATTACCTGCTGGCCACCCTTTGATCATAGTCAATGGATAAAGGCAATAATCAGGCGTATTGATGCATATTTTTAATCGTTTTCATTCGTTGTGTTACTGGTGCCACTCTTGACCAATTTTCTGGGACATATCTGGGAGGGAGGGAGGAGTTGCAAGAAAGCTATTGGTTGTTTGTTGTGAAAACGCATAACTGTGTTTCTACAATCAAGGTTTCTTTTTTTGTCTTTTTCTTTTTTTGATACCGCGGATACCTAACTCATAACTTCGCACATCACTTTAAGAAGATTTAATTCTCTAGACGAGAAGGAGATACTTGTAGGGGATGAGCAGGTGATGGAACATGGGAAGGAGTGGAGATGGGAAAGAAGTTGAGGGGAAATAAAGGGCAGAATGTAACATATCGCAATTGGTCATTGGGTGCATTTGATGACTAAAATGAATGAATGGCTTGAGGGTTGGATGTGATGTGATGGTGGATGGGCGGGCTTGATCATAATTGGGATGGAAATTCAAGTGCGGCTAAAGTAGAGGAGCATAAATGGGAAGAATTGAGCCGACATAGAAGCATGCATGATTGAATGATGCAGGTGTTTCAAGTAAAAGAAAACATCAGACAGCGAGTTACAGCGAAAATCAGTCAATGTTACATACCTATCTACCTATGTCACTTGGGTATTTATTGAGTAGGTTCGTGAGTGGAATGTGAATGATGAATGAATGTATTGATGAATGATTTAGGTACTTGAGTCTTTTGTGGTTTGGTGGATTGGAGGTGAGAGGGTGAGGTTAGCTGGTTGTGTGGGCTTGATGTGGAATGGTGTAGGTATAGATGGATTTTGTTTTGTTTTGCTGGGTTGTTTGTATTGTTGATGAATGGATAGATGGATGAATTGATGGTAAGTGGGTGGAGAAGAGGGCAAGAGGAGGGAGTAAGAGGAGGGGGTCAGAGGAGGGGGTCAGAGGAGGGGGTCAGAGGAGGGGGGTAAGAGGAGGGGGGTAAGAGGAGAGGGGATGTGTTGAATGAATTGTGGAGTTATATTGGTGATGGGGTTTTATATGAAGGCTTTTGGGGGTATCTACTGAGCTTTTGGTTTGGGATGAGGGGGGGGGGGAGATGAGAAGATGAGAAGATGAGAAGAGGGAGGGGGAAAGGGAGAGAATGTGTGGATAGTGGATAGGTGGAGGGGTAGGTTGATGGGTGCTGAGTATTGGGTGTTGGCTGATTTGTATGAGGGTGGGGTGCTCTGTAGAGGGATTTAGGTGCCAAGTGGGGGGCGGGTGAGTAGGTATGTGAGTGAGGAGAGGGGGGGGCGGGAGAAGGTAGGATTTTTGAGATTGTGGGTGTTTGGATTTGGATTTGGAAGGTGGGAGAGTAGTTGGAGCGGAAGAGTGGTGATCTGAGGTAGATGGGAGGGAAGAGGAGGGGAAGAAAGTCATAGTGAGGAAACTTGAGGTGTGTAGGATGGGGTGTGGGGGGATAGGATGGAACGGGATGGGAAGAGATGGGATTTGAGTCATGTTTAGATGGTGTGGGAAGGGGAAGGGGGGGAGGAATTGGTGAGGATTTGAAGTTGGGAAAAGGTTGGAGATGGATGAGATGATGAATGAGGATGATGAATGAGGATGATGAATGAGGATGATGAATGAGGATGATGAATGAGGATGATGAATGAGGATGATGAATGAGGATGATGAATGAGGATGATGAATGATAATTAGGGATGTGGGTGCTGGATGTTAGGGGGAGCGGAAGTTTGGAGTATAGGTTACTTGGGTGGAATCGAGGCAGCGGGGTAGGTAGCCATATTCATGAATGTATTCCTGTTTGTGGAGAGGCAGAACTGGATGGGAGGGGATTTGGATGAGAGAAGAGAGATGAGAGAGGTGGGTTGGGGTAGGGAAGGGTTAAGTAATGCATCCGAAGTTGAAGGAGTTCGTGTGGGTATGCTATGTTATGTTATGTTAAGTGGGTTTATAGATTTGTAGAGCAGGAGGAGGATTGGGGAAGAAAAGAGAATGGCAAGAAGCTGGAGGAGATAGCCAAAAACCGAAGAGGAGGAGAGATAGTAGATAGTTTAGAGACATATTCATATGTAAAGATCAAATGGAAGGATAGATAGGTTTATTAGATTGGATTTAGATTGAAAGGTCTATGGTTTCTACAACTACGTATCTAGGTATAAGAATTTTCTTTCTGGATATGGATGATTACATGTATGCGCTGAATTGGATATTGGATATCTTTCATGTTGAAGAAAGGATGAAAGGAGGGTATAGCGTTATGGGGATATGAGGATATGGGGATAGATATGTAGGTAGTTGGATATATATATCATCTAGAGTGTTTTGATACAAGTTCGATATAATACCTACCTAGTTTATGGGGTTTCTTAATGAGGTTATGGATGTATGATGATGGCATAGCTAGCTGGGTAGTTAGGTAGGTAGTTAGGTAAGTATGTTTGTTTGTTTCTATTAGTTGATGATTTGGGATTCTCGATATGATATGATATTTTCTTCTTTTTCTTTTCTTTTCTTTTTTCTCTTGGAAGTACTACATATATATTCGTATGTTTGTGTATATCAAATATTCATTTAGGTAGTAAGATTATATACCTAGGATATTACTCTCGAAATCATTAATGATAGCTATTTACATACCTACCTCAAGCCTACCTAGCTACCGCCATACCGGTACAATATCCACTACCAACCTATCCGCCCACCACCCATACAGCCTCATAATATACTATAATTCCACAAGCACAGAAAAATACCTCCTACCTACACACACATCCCTACCCATCACAACATCCCTTGCATCCATCTGCCTACCTAGCCATACGATAGTAAAAAAAACTTCCTTCTCAAAGTCAAAGCGTTCGTAACCTCAGCACGGTACCAAGATGAAATGATGAAAGGGTAAGGGTATGGTGGCTCTGTGGATACTCGAGACGGCTTGATACGACAAGCGAGAGTTTCGCGTGGCATGCACTGGGATTTGGGGGGGGGGGGAGAGGAGAGTGGACAGGGGAGGGGAAGGGAATGGTGAGGGTGAGGGTGAAGAGGGAAATGTGGATTGGTAGGGTGGAAGGGCAGGGTGGTTGCTATAAATAAATTGATTGATTAGGGAAATAGAGGAAATGAGGAAATGAGGGAATGAATGAATAGGGTTTGGGTGCTGTGGTGTGCTGTGGTGTGACTGTGATTGTGATTACGATTGTGGTTTGGGTGGTGAGGTGAGGTGAAGGGAGGCCAGGTGAAGTGAAGTGAAGTGAAGTTGTTGCGGAGTGCGTGGTATGGTATAGTATGAGATTTGATAAGATGAGGATGAGCATCAGGATTGGATGCGGACGTGAATGTTGATAAAATAATACTGTAGGAGCGCTGTTTCTTTTGTTGGAGACAGCTGGGTTGGATCTGAAGGAGTAAACGCCGTGTCATGTCATGTTGTGTCGTGTCGTATTGTATTCGTGTTGTGGAGGCGGAAGAGGCGTTTGGGAGGCGAGAAAGGAGTGTACGTAGGTAGTATTTTATTCTTGTTTCCTTGCATTTGATACCGGTAATAGATATAGAATTTGGATAGTGTATTTGATGGAGATGGGCATTGAATTCGTTGGGGGGTATTGTGCCCTATTTAGATAGGTAGGTATGAATGGAGTTTGTCTTATGAGGACCTTATTAAACTATACAGAGTAGTATTGAATGTAATCTTACTACCAGTACCTAGGTAGATATATTTATTATAAATACATGTAAATACATCTGTCGATTAATAACAATCAATCTCTTAAATCTCGTCTTCACACGTGGATAAATGGCGATGAACAAATTAAAAATCAGGGGATTCGATCCGATCCGATCCGATCCGATCTGGATCTGAATCTCCTTGAAGGGTCATACAAGAGAATGTGAATCCCGAGTTTCATGAAACCGACGTTGAGTTTTACATTCATGCTCTCGCCTTGGGTTTAGTGGTAAGGAGGTAGGACCGTTTTCATTAGGTTATGGTTACTCGCCCATGTTTCCATGTTTGAGAGGAAATGAATTGGAATTGACATGAAATCCAATGCATAAATACTGATCCCTATTTCCCCCAAACCATCACACAGTTAGTTAGGGATAAATGATGATGAACACTTTAGGTTGCGAGTAGAGTGGAAATCATCCCCAAGTAGATGGGGTCACTTGGGTAAATTGAGGACACTTGGGTAAAATTGGGTCAAGATGTGGTAAGGGCGGAAGATCAATTGAGAAGCTTGGGGCGGTTGGTGGGTGATGAGGTCTTGCGGCCACGAGGTTGATGGGGTTTCGAAGCGAGGGAGAAGAGGGAGAAGAGGGAGAAGGAGAATTGATATATTGTTGATTGAGGGAGGTAACCTTATTATACATTTATAGATTTATGGACTTGTGGATTTATGGATTTATTATGGATGATTTTGATTTGGATGAGATCTAGATGATGGATACTCTATGTAGGTAGATGTGTTTTGGTTGAGGGTTTGAAATACTGATTTAGATTGATTGATTGATTGATTTGATTTGATTTGATTTGATGGATGGATGGATGGATGGATGGATTGATTGCTAGGGAGGGTAGTAGGTAACAGGTAGGTAGGTAGATATCTATTGGTTATAATTGATATCTTATTTGTTGTATCTAATGAATATGAATAGTATAATAAAAGATTGTATATATATTTTTCTATATATATATACGTATACATATAAATATAAATACTCGAGTAATTAGATTCTCTAGGTAGAAGATATAAATATACATTCACATCCACACATAACATACATATGACTTACAATCCGCACCGGTAGTACAACTGTACAACATATCCTAGGAAGACGTATCCCTAGTAGCTCTAATACTATCCCACCCGTCTGTACCTTGTGCTGGTGCCGCATGGTATAGACAGATACCTAGGTAGTACGATGTACACAGACTTTGTTTGAGTGAAATTTGACTTTATTTTTAATGAGAGTGAGGGAGGGAGCTCAGGGAGTTGGCGAGTTGGCGAGTTGGAAACAAGTATCGTGAGATGATGGTATTTTGTACAGTTAGTCAAAGAATCAATGGATGAATGATTGTCAGTGCCTTGTTGAATGGATAGTCTTTAGTCAGATTTGCAGACATTTCTTTAGAAGCTACCTACCTATGTTATTGTATCTTGTTATATATAAGGAACTCAGATAGTATGTCAAAACTGACCAACAAACAAACTCTCGAATGTGATAGATATACTATTCAAAACCTAATGATGACCTTCTCGTTGAGTATCGAAGTCATCAGAGTTATTTATATAGTCATTCATATATATCAGTTAAGTAATTCTCATATTCACCTTGACTACCTCTCTACCTACTCACACCTCTCTCATATCTACCTACATACCCTCCATCTAGGATCCAATTATCCTTCTCTCAAATGAATGAAAATATGATAAAATTTCCGATTAATTGCAGATCTACTCACAAGGCGGGTTGGCTGGTGACTTTTTATCGTTGTTAAACTCGTAATAAACACCTAGGTACCCTGCCTACCTAGTTTACAAGGTTACGTTACTTTACTGTCATTGATATCAAGCTGGAGCTCAAACTTATAACTTATTCAACTAGAAAATTTCACCATCATACGAGAAGTATTATACTCAGGTTCATCCATTCATTCACTCATTCAATCATCCCATCATAAGATAGAATACTAGAAAGGCATTAATATCATTGGGACTTTTATGCCATAGATACTATATCTCAATCGTTCCCTATACCATTCTTGTCTGAACCGCAGTAAAAAGAGAGCACCTTTCGTTGAGCTAAGACCATCATCCATCCATCAACTCTAAATTATCTCATTGATTCGAGTCCACACCACCCACCCACCATCGTCAGACAATCAATTAAACCAGCCTCTCTCCTCTCCTCTCCTCTCCTCTCTCCTCTCTCCTCTCTCGCCCCCTTGTCATCTTTTTATATAATTCTCCCTTCTCTTTATCTACAAACACTCACCAGCAAAAGATCTCGTATCTAGTACATCTTCAACCCTCAATTGGTAAACCGTTCAATGATTATATAAGATCATACGAAACAAACAAAAATCTTCAAACAATAAGATTTGTCCGCTATCAAAGAAAGACCCGACCTCCAGAAAAAAAAAACGAGGAAGAAGAAAAAAATCATTATTGAGCTTGCCTCGGGTGATTTCTGTCTCACTAACAACTTCAACCATCCGCTTTTCTGAGTGGGTTGTGGAGACTCGGTACTGTCCTTGACGGCATTTCGATAATATATCCTCTTCACGTCTATTTTCGTCACAACCTCAACTATCATCGATCAATATTATTCGCATTGTCTAGAGCTGCCTCACGATTTATACTTACGATCATCCCGAGTCGAATAATCCTTGTCCGAATATCCCCAATCTCAACAATACAATTGTACGCATTGGATTTGATAGCCTCGTGAAATCGTGTTGGATATTGAAGTTGGACTGGGACTGGACGGGAACTACGCATAACGTCACACCTCAATTAATAAGTGACGACACAACTCTTGAAAACAGTCAGCGAATAATATATAAATTATAAGATCAACCATCGTCGCGACTCGGTTCATCGAAAGATTCCAAAGGAAAGGCGGGGGCTGCTGAAGCAGCCAGCCAGGTGAAGCAGGATGGGTGCTTGTATGAGCTCGAATGTGGAGGACACGGAACAGAGAAAGAGGAGTCAAATGATTGATAAGAAGCTAGAAGAGGACTCGAAAAGACTTCGAAGAGAATGCAAAATTCTTTTGCTAGGTGAACATTCAAATTCATTTTAAGATCTCGAGGACAAAGGCAAAACTGGTTCCATGCTAACATTCATCGCGATAGGTTCGGGCGAGAGTGGTAAATCAACCATAGTCAAGCAGATGAAAATCATACACCAGAATGGCTACACCATTGATGAGTTGGCGTTGTACCGATTAACGATCTACAAGAATTTGATTGATTGTGCAAAGGCATTGGTTGGTGCAATGCGACAGATGGAGATTGAGCCAGAGAACCCAGCGAACAAGGAATACGGTTCATTTTTGTTGGAGTATATTGTCGACCCTGATCCTCATACACCACTTAATCCTCGAGTTGGCGCGGCTGTGGCATCATTCTGGAAAGATGGGCACATTGATCTCTTATTGGCTAGGCAGAGTGAATTCTATTTGATGGATTCAGCACCATAGTGTGTACCACATATTCTTCATGTATCGACAACGATACTAACCTATCATAGTTTCTTCGAAGAGGCTGGAAGGATTGCAGCACACAATTATATTCCTACCGAAGCCGATGTTTTGAGGGCTAGAACAAAAACGACTGGTATTTACGAGACAAGATTCACCATGGGCTCTTTAAGTATTCAGTCAGTATAATATGCCTGCTTTAAACACTCTATACTAACTTCATGATAGTATGTTTGATGTTGGTGGCCAAAGAAGTGAGAGAAAGAAGTGGATTCATTGTTTTGAGAATGTAACTTCAATCATATTTTGCGTTGCGTTAAGTGAATATGATCAGGTCCTTTTGGAGGAGAGTAATCAGGTAAGAATTCTCCTCTATAATCTCATGACAATCCTAACATTACACCAGAATCGCATGATGGAGAGTCTCGTCTTATTCGACTCGGTTGTTAACTCAAGATGGTTCATGCGTACCAGTATCATTCTCTTTCTTAACAAGGTTGATTTGTTCAAACAAAAGCTCGGTCGATCACCTCTCGAAACCTACTTCCCAGACTATTCTGGTGGAAATGACTTGAATAGAGCAGCAAAGTATTTACTTTGGAGATTCAACCAGGTTAATAGAGCTCATTTGAATCTATATCCACAGTAAGTCTTCTTTGAATGGCCCTCAAGATTACACTTCTAACGTTCAACAGTCTCACACAAGCTACTGATACTTCGAATATTCGACTAGTATTCGCTGCCGTTAAAGAGACCATATTACAAAATGCGCTCAAAGACTCGGGCATACTCTAATCAGAGGAGAGTATAGCTCATGATGAATAATGTCTTAATTTATATAATCCGTTTGATAGTGACTGGAAAATGGCGTTTGGTTTAGGAGTTTTAGGGAAGGATGTGTGGTAAAGATTACAAGGTGTATGCTGCATGATCTGGGCTTGGATGACTGGAAAGGGGGTGACATTGCACGAACAATGACTTCTACGTCGTTTGAATTAGGTGGGCGGGGTGAGGGTACTACATCCATGACTTTTACATATGTGCGGGATTACATATTGCAATTGTGAGGAGTTTAAGGGCCAAATGGTCTATGGGAAATCGATTGATTGGTATTTGGGAAACCCCCGGACAAATGGGTAGGTGGTCTAGGTTCAGCGTCTTCGCATTTGCTGGTTTACAATAAGGATACTGTCATATTGCGGGAAGGGGAAGGGGAAGGGGAAGGGGAAGGGGATGCAAGATGGATTTGAAATTAAAATGACAGTGTAGAAAGTTGATGGCCAGTGATCATATTAGTTCAGTATCGATTATTTTGATACATGGACGAACAAATAATTATTGAAAAGATTCTATGATATTCGTTCATTCCAATACAATGTGACGAGATGTTGATAGGAGAATTTGCGAGTGATGATTGAGCATAACACATATATGAATACGAAGTAATCTTACAATATCACGACATATTTGTGATGTATAGTATAATAGGTAGGTAGTTCTGAATCATATTAATATAGATTTTACTGCTAGTTCACTTTTTACTCAATGTATATGACTGTACACGGGGTCCGCAGGACTTGGGGATTGGGCTTGAGGCTGGTGAGAGGAGGGTGAAATTTTAAGGGCTTGAGATTTGGGGATCCGAGATTCGGAAGATGGGTAGTATGTAGCTTTCTTGGGTGTGTGTACTTGCGAGGTATGTATCATGTGATGGAGATAGAGTTTATGGCGTTGGTAAATACCCCGCTATGGACTCTGGAGAGAGGAAAGAGATATTATTCATATTGGGGTTTCTGCATTAGGAAACGCGCCATGGGATCGCCAGTCAATGAACTCACTCAAACCCCATCATCTTTCCCCATCTCCACATCTCTTCGTGCTGATTTCGACACCGATACAACCTCAGAAAGGATGGAGGATTTCAACATCCCTAGCAACGAAAGAATCACTCTGCTAAAAGCTTTCCAAGAAGAAGTAGGAGATGTACCTCCATACTTCTGGGCTTTCTGTCAAGTGTGTGACCTTCAGGCACTTCAAAAACTTATAGACATTGCTCGCATTTCCCCTGTCATGGTTCGTATTTTTGCGGCACAAGCCTTTACAACAGTATTGTACTGTAAGTAGAATATGTAATCTGCTTTTTTCTTTATTGCTCTTGATTTATAGGGACACAAAGTAATCAAGGAACATCGCGTGTTTCCACTCCGAACATAACACAATTGAAACGGGGCTTGGGCTCATCTTCAACCAATTCTCCGCTTGCTAAGAGGCAAAAAACGACGGATTCGCCTGTCAATTCCCCCCTTGCTGACAAGCAGACGAATACCAGTTCCCCTGTTAGTTCGCCCTCGTTGCATAGAAGCAGGGCCGCCTCGGATCTGGTAAGCTTGAAATGCACATTACTTTACTATCTGAAGCTCATATTTTGTAGGCTAGAGATCGTGACCACCATTGCTGTGTGCTTACTGGCGATTCAGTTATCGAAGTAGCTCATATATACCCCTTCTGCCGAATATCGACCTCAGAAGAGAACATTTTTGGGGCGAGACACATGTTTTGGGAATATTTGAGAAACTTCTGGTCAGAGGAGAAAGTGGCTGCTTGGAAAGCGGACATTTTTCCAAGAGGGCTATCTGAAATAGGAGACAAAAAAGTTGATAATCGAATAACATTGTCAAAGACGGCACATGTCCAATGGAATCGAGGGGCGTTTGCCTTGAAGCCAATTTCTATCTCCGACGAGAAAACCACAATAAAAGTCCAGTTTTTTTTGGCAGAAGAAACAGGCCAACATCCAATCAACTATGAATCTTATGACAACACCTATGTCCACCGAGAACCTCGATCACAATGAGGGTGCATTTGATTACGGCTATACAACATTATACTGCCTGGGCGGCAAAGCCATCAAATCCGGCCAAATCTTCGAACTCAAGACTAGCGATCCGATAAAGCAACCCCTCCCAAGCTTCAAGCTCCTTGAACTCCAATGGGCTTTAATGCGTGTGATAGGTATGGCTGGGGCTGCCTTTCCCTATGAACCAAGTTCTGGAGGCGATTCGGACGCGGATATTTATGGGTTGGATTTAGATGAAGTAGGAGACACATCTGTTCTTTCGGAGAATCTGCAGGGAAACCCGCTAGAACTGCCGTGCGGATGACCCTAAGCATTATACAGAGGAAGCGAAGGGATAGTGTAGGAATGGGTACTGATTGTGTAGCATAAAGGAAATGTGAAGTAGAAGGTTTGTTTTGGGGATTCGAAGAACATGTTTTAATCTTCTCATTTGCTAGAGAGGCTATGTTTGCTAAAGAGAGGCTATGTATTATAAAAGCAACCCATAAAAGCAGTTAAATCACCTGCATCTAGAAAATTACAGCTTGAGCATAGTACCTCGAGATGGTGTTTGGTAGATAGCTGGATGAATAAGGTTAGATAGATAGGTAAATACACAACATCTATCTATAACTATATGCACTATCTGATATGGATTACATACTGTACAGATGGAAAACAACAGTTGGAATATCGTCATAAACATGTCATTTCACATACGTACGATGGACAGTGGTGCGCTGGGAGAAAACTGGGAAATGCGGGTAGTGATATGGTTTGAACCCCACACTCTTACATCCTTTGCATGTGCTCGAGGACATACAGAGTACATACTTTTGTTAGTACGATGTATTAAATATTGGGTTTACTTTGCATGTGTGTAGCGTATTCCAGTGGGGTTTTGGAGGGTTTATTGGTAGAGGTCGTTCTTGTGGATAGAGTTAGATTTGGAGGAGAGGGAGAGGCCCTTGTTGTTACTCAGGCTCGTGGTAGGTAAATTCGAGGTTGGTAGGATCGTATGTTTTTCTTTCTTTCGGTGGATGGATGGATGGAAATGTCCGGAAGATGTCCAGGTAAGCTATGGTGGGGGAGGGAAGAAGGAGCTACTTGCAAAATGGAGATATTTATATCAATGAGCTTCTTTCCGAATATACGAGAACTACCTACTTACCTACCTACTGTGTATAGTTATCTCTATCGTTTCTTCGGCTCGTTTGTTTGTCTGTTTGGGAGTTATATCGTATTATAACTGATACAACTTACACCCACGAATCTTCTCATGCATTAGAGAAGATTGGTTTGGGAACATCTTTTACTTTAACTTGCATACATCATACATTGATTCGAATCACCTGTCACTCCAAGCACACTCGCATCCCCCGCAATTAGAATTACCTGAGCTGGACCCGATCTGTGGTTAACCCCGCATCCATATCAACGAACGAGCATTCACCACATATATTCACATACTTATACATAGTTACATACATACATACCCGATTGCCTGAACAGATAGTTTTTAATCGACTTCTCCCTCAAGTTTTTACAACTTTTTCTTTCTCATCTCTTGCTCGTCAATAACTCGGCACCTCTACGTATTGAAAAGCGTCACGAAGACTGCACAGGTTGAGATTCACGATGGCAACTTCAACTAGAGAAAGACGTCCCTCCACCGGTGCTCCCATTAGTGAACTCCAAGGTCCTGTTGGTCCTGCTGGCGTTACAAGACCTAAACATAAGCGTACCTTTACCGGTTTTGGTGCTGGGGAAATCAAAAGTGTAGAAGGTATGATATATTTCTTTGATTCTGCGGATATCTTTTTCATTCCAATGACGTATTGAAATCCATGCTAATTATTTGCTCTCTCTGTCCAGCATCGATTCCTGAGCCTCAACGAGAAGCATGGAAGAAATATACTGCCAAAGGATTTGAGACCAAGGAGGACTTTGAGAAGGAAGTCGTTCGTCATGTTGAAACTACTTTGGCTCGTAGTATGTTCAACTGTGATGAGACTGCTGCATATGCCGCGGCTAGTTTGGCTTTCAGAGATAAATTGATTACGGCTTGGAATCGTACTCAACAGAGACAAACTTTTGCTGATGGCAAACGTGTGTACTACTTGAGTTTGGAGTTTTTGATGGGAAGAGCGCTCGACAATGCTATGTTGAATGTTGGGTTGAAGAATGTTGCTAAAGGTATGTTGGATTACTTGTGAGGACGCTCAAGAAGTGTAATTTCTGACCCTTTTCAATAGAGGGTCTTTCGGATCTTGGTTTCAGAATTGAGGATATCATCAACCAAGAGCATGATGCTGCCCTCGGTAATGGTGGTCTTGGTCGATTGGCAGCTTGTTTCCTAGATTCTCTAGCTTCCTTGAGCTATCCAGCATGGGGTTATGGTTTGAGATATAGATATGGTATCTTCAAGCAAGAAATTGTAGATGGATATCAAGTCGAAGTCCCAGATTACTGGCTTGACTTCAATCCTTGGGAATTTCCAAGACATGATATTGTTGTTGATGTAAGTTTTCCTCTGCCCACAAGTCATTTCGTGTCGGGCTAATGAATTTCAGATCCAATTTTTTGGCCATGTCAGAAAGTATCAGGATGAACAAGGAGTATCGAAGACTGTATGGGAGGGCGGAGAGATTGTCAAGGCCGTGGCCTATGATGTTCCAATCCCAGGTTATGATACCCCCGCTACCAACAACTTGCGTCTTTGGTCTAGCAAGGCTGCTAGCGGTGAATTCGACTTCCAAAAGTTCAACAGCGGTGACTATGAAAGTTCAGTGGCCGATCAACAACGCGCTGAGACTATCAGTGCTGTTTTATATCCGAACGATAATCTCGACCGTGGAAAGGAGCTTCGTTTGAAGCAACAGTACTTCTGGGTCGCTGCATCATTATATGATATTGTTCGTCGATTCAAGAAGTCTAAGCGTGCTTGGAAGGAATTCCCAGAACAAGTTGCCATTCAATTGAATGATACTCATCCAACTCTTGCTATTGTTGAGCTTCAACGTGTTCTTGTTGATCTTGAAGGTCTTGAGTGGGATGAGGCATGGGGAATTGTTACCAAGACTTTTGGTTACACAAATCACACTGTTCTTCCTGAAGCTCTCGAAAAGTGGTCTGTTCCTCTTTTCCAGAACTTACTTCCCAGACATCTTCAAATCATTTACGAGATCAACTTGTTCTTCTTACAAACTGTGGAACGTAAGTTTCCTGGTGAGAGAGATCTCCTCGGTCGAGTCTCGATTATTGAAGAATCTCAACCAAAGATGGTTCGCATGGCTTTCTTGGCTATCGTTGGTTCTCACAAGGTTAACGGTGTGGCTGAACTTCATTCTGATTTGATTAAGACCACTATTTTCAAGGATTTTGTCAAGATCTTTGGCCCTGATAAGTTTACTAATGTCACCAATGGTATCACTCCTAGAAGATGGCTTCACCAAGCCAACCCTAGATTGTCTGAGTTGATTGCCAGCAAGCTTGGTGGTTATGACTTCCTCAAGGATCTTACTCTTTTGAGCAAGCTCGAAGCATTCGCTGATGATAAGACATTTAAGAAAGAGTGGCAGGAAATCAAGTATGCGAACAAAGTTCGCTTAGCAAAACACATCAAGACGACTACTGATGTCACTGTCAACCCATCTGCCTTGTTTGATATTCAAGTCAAGCGTATACATGAGTATAAGCGTCAACAGATGAACATCTTTGGTGTCATTCACAGATACTTGACTATTAAAGCTATGAGCCCAGAAAAGCGCAAAAAGTTGGCACCTCGAGTTTCGATCTTTGGTGGAAAAGCTGCTCCAGGTTACTGGATGGCAAAGACTATCATTCATCTTATCAACAACGTTGGTTCTGTTGTCAACAATGACAAAGATGTTGGAGATCTTCTGAAAGTTATCTTCTTGGAGGATTACAATGTATCCAAGGCCGAGATGATTTGCCCGGCAAGTGATATCAGTGAACACATCTCAACAGCAGGTACAGAAGCCAGTGGAACCTCAAATATGAAGTTCGTGTTGAATGGTGGATTGATTATTGGTACCTGCGATGGTGCTAATGTAAGTGTTTCCCTTCTTATATTTATCTTACGCCTCACTAATCACACTACAGATTGAAATTACTCGTGAGATTGGAGAGAACAACATTTTCCTCTTTGGTAACTTAGCTGAAGATGTTGATGACCTTCGTCATGCTCACACTTACGGCTCTACTCAACTTGACCCTGACCTTCAGAAAGTCTTTGAGGCTATTCAAAAGGGTACTTTTGGGGATGCCAACGCATTTGGTGCTCTCGTTGGTGCTATTAAAGATCATGGTGACTACTATCTCGTTTCCGATGATTTCAACAGCTACAACCAAACTCAAGCTTTGGTGGATGAAGCATACAAGAATCAAGATGAGTGGACTACAAAGACTATTACTAGTGTGGCTAGAATGGGTTTCTTTAGCAGTGATAGATGTATCAATGAGTATGCTGAGTCGATTTGGAATATTGAACCACTAGCTGCGGGGAAGGGAGGGGAGGCGTAAGTAGAGATGATATAAGGGCGTTGAGGATGATGGATGACGGAGAATATGCTTGAATGGCTTTTCAGGTGGATATACATTGGGGGACAAAAGATGGTTATGATGATAATGATGATGAGGGAGAAAAATAAGCATACGAAATAATATGCTACGATAAGATACATCAAGTCCTGACTAGTTTCGATTGATGAACGACATTCCTAACTACCTATTACCTACTTCCTATTCAATTGAATGCCCGTGTCTCCCTTTCTTAAGTGAGTAAACATAAAATAGTGATGGTTCTGCTCAAAACTATTGCACGCCTGTGACTTGTCTATGTGTCTGGTAGCTAGCTTTATGACCTCGGGAACGATTGTACTGCGAGATTAGAGGTGTACAAGAACTTTACTAGATGCCAAACGCCGCTATTTTGAAGAGCTTGTTAATGAAGCACGCCCATCTATGTGAGTCAAGAATACAAGAAATGGCTACGTTGGATTTCATTGGAGTATAATTGTGGTTACAACCCAACACCAATCGAGAAGTCTCGTGATACTTACCCCTCATTTCGTTGATATCCCCCGCACCTTCCCGTCTGCATGCAAGACAACGTAGTAGGTGTACAAAGCTTGTCGCTCTTGTCGATCGGTTGATCGGTTGATCGGCTGAGGATATAAGAGATTGTTTACCTAGGTAAGATAGGTAGGTTTGACTGCGTAGTTTACTTTTGTATACTTTTTATTTTCTCTTTTCTTTGATTAAGAGCTTGACATCTGTCTTTCTGTCTCTCTGTTGAAGCAAGAAAACTCAGCACTCATCAATATCTCATCCGCCTCCTCCTCCTCCACAAGAAAAAAAATGTCCGCACCCCCCCTCCTCGGCACCCGCCTCCAAAACAAAGTCGCGATCGTGACGGGTGGCGGCTCGGGCTTCGGCGCAGGCATCGCCCGCCGCTTCGCGCAAGAAGGATGTAAAGTGGTGATTGCGGATATTGATGCGGTGGGTGGTGAGCGTATAGCGAGTGCGTTCCCGCAGAGTATGGTGTTTGTGAAGATGGATGTTACGAGGGAGGAGGAGTGGGAGGAGTTATGTAGAGAGACGAAGGAGAGGTGGGGGAGAGTGGATGTTTGTGTTAACAATGCGGGGGGGAGTTATAGGAATAAGGTGGGTGGGTTTGTAGACGGGGGGTTCTATTGTCTTTTGGGGGAGGTGGAGGGGTAAAGGATGAGTATGTGGTATTTGAGAAACTAACTTGTGTGTTATGGATTCTAGCCAACGTTGGATGTCACCGAAGATGAATTCGATAGGGTTTTCAACCTGAATGTCAAATCTATCTTCTTCGCAACGAAATATTTTATCCCAAGTGTTATTGATCACGGGGAGGGTGGTTCGATGATCAATATCGCGTCGATTGGGGCGACGAGACCTCGTCCGGGTCTGGTGTGGTATAATGCTAGTAAAGGGGCTGTTGTCAATGTGAGTAGTTGGTTTGGTTTAGAGTATAATTCTTGTTCTTCCTGCTAATGTGAAGGTTTGAAAAGGCGACCAAAGGACTCGCGGCAGAATATGGATCCAAAAATATTCGAGTCAATTCGATTTGTCCGCTTCTTGCTGGGACGGGGCTGTATGTATCTTATTTCATTTTGTCTTATCTCATTTTGACTCGAGAATCATAGAAGAGAAAATTAATATGAAGTAGTTTTTCGACATTTACGGGTGTAGAGGATACGCCGGAGAATCGTGACAAGTTTCTCTTTAATGTGCCGTTGGGACGACTGTGTACGCCGGAGGATGTGGCGAATTATTGTTTGTTTTTGGCGAGTGATGAGGCGAGGTTCATCACCGGGACTTGTTTGGAGGTTGATGGGGGGAGGGGAATTTCTTGAGGGAGAGGAGGCGGGATGGAGAAAAGGGTATGTTTTGGGGCAGGGAGAGGGCTGATGGCATCGGATGGGAAATGTCAATGGGAATGGAATCAGATATTATTACTGTTATTGGTATTCAGTTCTATGCTTTCGATGAAAACTACGAAGACGTCAGAAAATTAAAATCCGATCTTGAATCATGATCTTGGTTTCTAGACTCTGGTGAAGCTGGTTTACTTGATCACACCGTCGTCGATAAACATAATACAGGAAACTTCCTCTATAAAACAATAATACCTCCATAATCTCTCATAACTTAAGCTATCAGTGATTTAGATATCATATATTTCCAGAGTCAGTTCACCAGTGGGTAGATAGACTGATAGGATACTGTAAAAATTGACTTGTAGAAATCTGTTGATATATCAAATCCTATATCTTAAGAGTTTTTACAATTGTTCATTAGAAATTAAACAATCAAAATGCGAATATTGATATCAAATAATTGAAGAATGAATTTGTTTCAAAATTTCAAAAGTTGGGAAGTGTCCTGTCAATTCATGCTCTCTGATCAATACCATCTTATTATCTCTAGATCCGGAATACCTACCTCCCTTTAGGTACTCTCATATTATTGATCATATTTTAAGGGTTCTTTTTCTTCTTCCAGCTGAAAATAAGCAAATAAGTAATAAGTAATAGTCTTGTCTTACTTAACCCCTCATTTATATATGTATGTCATTACATATACGTACATGAACATGTGCCTTTATGTAATTAGCATATATATGTAAGTAGCACCTAAAATAGCCCATCACATACCTCCCTATCTGCCAACAAACGCCCACAGCGCAAATCATTGCTAGAAATGAGAGGTGCTGCGATGTTTACGTTGATGTTGATGAGTCAGGTTTTCAGCTGGCTTGGTGTCTGGCTGGCTGGCTGGCTGGTTGATATATATCTATCTATCTATCTACCTATCTATATGTTTGACAAAGGAAGTAGGTTACTCGAGTAGATTGGATGGAATGAAGGTGGATAAAAGATGGAAGATGTGAGATGTGAGATGTGAGATGTGAGATAAGCGAAGAGGGGTAGGTTGTAGTAAGGTTATGCTGTGGTGGGCGAGGTGGGGTAATGTGATGTGTTTGAATGGATAATAGACCCTGCATTTCTCTTCTTTGGCCTCTTTTCTTTCTTTTCCTTTGGAGGGGCAGAGAGGGGACGGGAAAAATAGAGGGGAGAGCATGGGATAGATTGACATGTGCAATGTGCATCCGGCATGGGTAGTTAATTAGTATTCAAGCTTATGTGTACTCCTGCTTGAGAAGATCTTTCTGCTTTGGGTTTTTCTGTCGCGTGGGACATTTGTGTATTTGTTTGTTTGTTTGTTTCGTGGGACTTGGTTTTACTTCTACATATACTTGTTGAATGAAATTGAAGTGGATTGAAGAAGCGAAGAAAATACCTAGTCACCACGAGAAAGAAAGAGATAAATAAGGACAAAGACAAAGACAAAGACAAAGACAAAGACAAAGACAAAGACAAAGACAAAGACAAAGACATAAATAACGAATTCGAAGTCGAAGTCGAATAAACTATTCGAAGATTTGGGAAATAATTCTTATTTCAGATTTATAACAGGAATATTGTTATTGAGAAAAGTGAAAATGAGATCCTTAGGGCCGCTAGTGGAAAGTTTGAAGGGCCAGTTGAGTCCCGATGCGAAGATTTTGATGAAGGGGGATGAGGGGTATAAGGAGGGGATTAGTAGGTGGTCGAGGGCGGCGGAGAGGGAGGCGGTGGGTTTATGATTTCTTTTTCTTTTTTTGGTGTTAGTTTTGATTTTTTGGGTTTGGGAGGCAGGGGAGGGAGGAGGAGAGAAACGGGGAAAAGGGGAGGAGAGGGGAGTGGCTGTTTGCTTTAGGGGGCAAGGGGGATGGGGGGTGCAAGAGGTGTAAAGTTTGTGTAATATTTTGGGGCTTGGAGAATCGGCGTTTTTCATCTAATTCCTCAAGGATGTTTTTTGATATATCTATCTATCTCACAGTCAACATTGGTACTGGTTATGCTGTACTTGCTGATATCTCTCTAGGCTTTAATTGTCTATCCTACCACCGCCGAAGACGTCTCCAAACTCGTTCTTTTTGTCAAAGAACAGAGGCTTGATTTCGCAGGTTCGTAATTTATTTACAAATTATTAAATCAGATTTCATGAACACCTGCAACTAACTCACCATCACAGTCGCCGGCGGTGGACACGGTTCATCAGGCGCTTCATCAACCCACAATGGTCTCTCCATTAACCTCTCCAAAATGCGCAACGTAGCCGTCGACCCCGTCAACAAATCAGCCCGCTGTCAAGGCGGCGCTCTTTGGTCCGACGTTGACACCGCTGCTTTCGCCCACGGGCTCGCTGCAGTCGGCGGCACCGTAAATCATACTGGAATCGGCGGACTCACTCTTGGAGGTGGCTTTGGTCATCTCACCCCCAAACACGGATTGGTGATTGACAATCTCCTCGAAGCAGAAGTCGTTCTCGCCGATGGACGTATAGTGACATGTTCTGCAAATCAAGAAACCGATCTCTTCTGGGCAATCCGCGGCGCGGGTATTGGATTCGGTGTCACGACGAGTTTTACCTATCGATTGCATCCGCAACCCAACCGTGTCTGGGGCGGTATGCTAGTATTCCCCCGCGAGAAACTGGAAGCCATCGTTTCATTCGCCAACACAATCGTTACACCCAACGAAGAAAATGCACTCCTCCTCCTCGCATATGGCTCTCCACCCCCAGCCTTCCAGCCCGCGGTCCTCATCCCCGTCTTCTACAACGGCACCGAAGCCGAAGCTCACGCCTACTTCAAACCGCTATTGGATCTCGAGCCCCTCGCCAACACCACGAGAGAGATGGATTACGTCGAAGTAAACGGTATGCTCAACGAACCCATGGCTCACGGCCTACGACGCAATTTGAAAGGCGCCGCGGTCATGTTCCCACTAACTTATTCCTTTGCCGCGGAGATCTACACCGAGACGGAAAAATTCCTCCGCGAAACCCCGGATGCGAAACATACCATGGTGATTTTTGAATACATACCTTTTGGCAAGATATTACAGGTGGGACAGCAAGATACCGCGTACGCGAATAGAGGCGCGTATGGAAATTTAGTATTTGGAGCGAGTTGGGAGAGTCAGGAGACGGATACGAAGTGTAGAGAGTGGTGCAGGATGATGGCTCAAAAAGCAAAGGCGGAGTTGGAGAGGAGGCTCGAGGAGGGCACGGATGAGATTACAAAGGATGGAGTGGGTGCTTATGCGAATTATGATGGTGGTAAGTTTATGTCTCTTGTATTGTACTTTTGACTCTCCCTTAAATATCGCTTGTGGACTCTGCGCAAAC